TCTCCCCTCTGGCGATGGAGCCCTCTCTGATGAAGGAAGTGGGGCCTCCTCTCTCCGCAATCTCTCCTCTGCCTGACGAGCGCTCCCTGGTGCATTCCCGAGTCTCAAACCCATTGCTGGCGCCTGTGGGGGTGTGTCCTCTCCAACCTCTATCACTTCCTTCCTTGCACGTCTCCCCATGTCGCCTAGCCTGCTCTCTTGCTGAGTACCCTGCGCCTCCTCTCATGGCACCTCCTCTCGTGGTACCTCCTCACGCGGCACCTCCTCTCGTGGCACCTCCTCTTGTGGTACCTCCTCTCGTGGCACCCCTTCTACTTGCTCTTCATGCTTCTCATCCTGAGGCGACGCTCTCCACTGAGAGATATCCAGATGCGTCTCTAACGCTCTCAACGGCCCTTCAGACACTGGCGGCTCCTCTCGTGTGTGTGCTGGTGACCTCCTCAATCCACCCTCAGTAAAACGATGGAACTCCACTAGTCCCAACCCACACTCAGGGTATGCCCCTCGCTCTTCAACCTCTGGCTCCCGCTCCGACTCCTCCTCTTTCCTGGCTAGGGCCTTCCGTCTTCCCCGAGACGGTCTCACCTCCCTGGGCTCAGGGTCCCTCGACCTCTGACTCCTCTGACGTTTCGACTCTGGGGTGGGGGGACTCTGGCCGTCGAAAGGCCTCTCTTAGATGTACCCTGCAGCTTTCCCAGTCCCGGGCCATGTCTCTGATTTGGCTAGCCAGCGGCCTTTCCGCCTTCCTGGTCCAGAGTGGTAGCGTCCTCGCCCACTCATCTCTCAGTATACCCCTGCCCCTGCATAAACCACTCGAAAGCAGGGATGAAGTCTGCCACGTTTTCGATCTCTAGACGGATCGGCCTGCCATCTGGTCCCACAGGCGAGGGTCGCAGTTCTTGCATCCACCACTCCACCTCTGATCTCGTCGTCGCCTCTCTACAGATCCGCGCGACGGGCTCCTCGAATCTGCCGACTCCCCTTAGTCCCTCGATTGCTTGGGCCACGGTCCAGCCCATATGCCTCGCATGATCCCAAAAGTTGTCCAGGAATAGCTCGATGTCCCCATCATCGTATACTGGAGTACTCTCTCGATGGCGAGGTCCATGTCGCTCATATCCTCCTGATGCTCCCAACGGCCTCCGAGGCGGCCGTGTCCCCCTCCCTCCTCTTGGCATGGCTGTCTTCGTAAAGTCAGACCTGCACAACAGGCGAAGGAGACAACAGGCACACATTGGGGTAAGCAAAACAGGTGATAATCAAGCAAACTTAGACCAGACCACACTCACACAACACACATCCTACCTAGCCTACACACCCTGCTACTTCTATTCTAAAGGCAGTCAGGTCGTTTCTCTTACCTCTTCTCTCGCCACGAATTTCTTCAGACGCATTCCAGATACCCAATCCTTCCACTCAGTCTCATTTAGCTCCTCTATCTGATACGCTCCGAAGTCTCCGACCCGTACGATCCGGTAGGGACCTAACCACCTCTTATCGAGCTTCCTGGACCATTGCTTCTCCAGTGATGAATCGTAGAGAAGCACGACATCTCCAACTGCCAAGGGTACCTTCCTCACCCGCGCAGATTGATCCCATCGAGCCTTATCGTCCATACGACTTCTCGTCACCTCGTCAGACGCCTCCTAGATCCTTTCTTATATCGCTCCTATCTGCCGCGCCCGAATATCGAGCAATTCTTCAAATGACAAGTTAACTTCCAGATCCTGGCGCCTCCATGTCTTAAGAAAGCTCTCGATAGGGAAGGTGGCGTGCCTTCCATACCATAATTTCGCCGGCGCGGTCAGATCCACTCTCAAAATAAACCTCCTGCCGAAGACGTAGTTCCGGAAGATTCGCAGACAGTGGAGGACAGCAAGGGTCTCCCTCTTGAACTGAGAGTAGTTCCTCTCTGTCGTACAGAGAGTCCGGCTCTCAAATCGCAAGGGCCTTTCCTTTCCTTCCATGTCTGCCTGTATTAGAACTCCCCCTAAGGCAGTCGGTCCCGCATCCGTTTCAACAATGAAGGGTCGCGTCTTTGTGGCGTCATAATCTGGCGCTCCTAACACCAACCCTCCTTCTCGGAATTCCTCTTTCATTTTTGCCACCACCTC